GACGAGGGGAATTCAGAAAGTTGTAGTGTTTGAATTGTTGGAATAAATGGTCGCATGGGGATGGTAAGTTTAACAAACAATTTCAAATTTTGCCGTTTGAATTGAAAGTAAAGTTCATTTGAATTGCTTTCGTATGTATTTCTGACGGTTTTAGATTTACCTCCTTGATTTATATCGGTTACGCTTCATGTTGACAAGTCCCTCAAAATGGCGGCCAAACTTGGAGATTGCCGAAAATTAGGTAAGTTCACGGAGCTATAAAGTTCTCGTAAAGGTCGGACCGCTAAGTTTTTTTCTGTAGTTACCTTTTCTATGGCACCTACTTCCTAGCTATGTTAGTTGGATCAGTTAAGAACGCCTCACTTTTTCAAAAATTTACCTTGAATTTGATCGGTTTTGGCGTGTTTGATTTAGGCGAACCGATAAGGTGTCATTCAAGTCTCCCTGTTTCCTTGATTGAAACGTGATGTTTACGAAAGTCGCCTCGATAGATAAGATAGAGTTAATATACATGGCTGTGGTATTTGTTTTTTGCTGAGTTCCGTAGTTTTTTGTAAATTGTCCTCCAAAGTTGTATGAAATTAAAGTCTTGAAAAGTGTCACGACAAGCCTTCGCTCGAGTGAAATTTAATTTCCGTAAAACTCTGAAAAATAAAGAGATCCGATCAAACTGATTGTGGTTTTAGTATAGGTACATGAATGTCTTACAACACACGAGAAACGAGCGAAATCTGTGTCTCAAGCAAAATCGACCGGACCGCTCTTACAGAGACACTCTCTTAATCTTTAGGGCTGACTAAAAAGTCTCACTGACTGACGAGTATCACAGACGACTAGATTGAGGTTCATTGCTTTCCCATTCTAACTGATTTGTGCAAGGTATTAAACTACATGCATTAGATAGGCGAGATAAAGTTTCTAGCCTTTTTCTGAAATTTCTCATCGCTCGCTATTACGTGTTTTAAAGGAAAAAAGGGTTAAATTTTTTACCTAAATGGAGACTTATCAATTTGAGTTGGTTGAGGTATTCTACATCCCTTCTTTGATTGAGTTGTACCTTCTGACCTACATTAATTTTGGAGCGTGACACACACATCGATCGAGAACAACTTTTTAGTGATACTTAACGGTGGATTTCAAATTTTTGTTTCTTCTCCTAAGGTACAAAATGTATCGAATGTAGCTGGATCATAAAAGCTCGTATTTTGTTTATCAAGCAGCGGATCTCGAGAGAATACTAGTTGTTTTATTTATTAAGCACCACAACGTCGACAATTTGACGCTGTTTGCAAATATATTGATTCTTGATCAGTTGGAGCGACATCATCAAGTAAAAAGGCTTTCTTCAACATGAAACATGATGATAATTTCCAAAGTTCTCATATGTAATGAAAAATTTTTTGCTTCTATACGGTTAGTTTCCGTTCTTACTCGACTGCGACAGAAGGCTCCCATATGCAGTAAATAATTCTCCGCATAAACTAATCGCGCGGTTGTGAAAGCATTCAATTACATCTGTTAAAAAGTGAGTAGCATTTGAATTTTAGCGAGTGTGGCACATAAAAGCCATGCAAACCTCTACAAGCCTTAAATGCGATAAGGTTCATATCTCAAACTGGATTTATTTTTAACATCCATTCTGATACTTTCAAAGTTTGAAACGTCATTCGAACACAATATCAACCTTGTGTTACGGTCAATACAACCAAACAAACGACGTGTCGTACAGTGGTTATTCCCATTCATTAATCATTCTCCTAGTGCCATCTAAAACGCTGGTCTGACATGCAATGCATTGCAAGAAAACCAAATTAAAGAGCAAGACTTGCACGTCTACAGACAGACGGAGTATTTGGTGGTGGAAATCTCTGGAGCATAGAAACCTGTTTTCATTTTTGACAGCGTAATTTAAAAATCAATTCAAAAAGCTGAATTCCGTAATAAACCCGCAGGGCGAGTGCAATTCGTGGTCTTTGAAAAAAATTAACAAGAGCTTGTTTATTCCAAATTGCACGAGAAAAATCATGTGATTACGTGTTAATAATATACATGGAAAAATACGAGATGGCTTATTATAATTAAGCATAAGCAAAGCGCGCGTATCAAGTGCAAAAATAATTTATTCAAACCGTGCGTTCGGTCAAAACAACTGCGTACGATCAAAACAATAATATGCAATGATATTTTCGCATCTTTAAAGCGCAAAAAAGTTCAAAGTGCGGCTAAACAGTTCAAGGAATTGTTCAGTCTGTGTCCGAATCACTTTCGATGAAATGGAATCGTCGTTTCCGAGGTTTAACCATGTTTGTTTTTAATTTCGGCCTTGGATTGCTCGAGCAAAGTGTTAAGCTGAGTCGGCTCGTAATTTTCGATTTCCCTGGCAGTTCCCTTCTCTAAACGCAACTTTTTCCAAACCGACAACCAAAAAATAGTGCTTTTTTTCCGTTTTCTTCGTTGTTTGATCCGTTTTTCAGCTGCTTAAAACGCCGAAAAATTGCTTCGCTAGCAAGTTTTCAAATTTTCAAATTTTGTTGCGACATCCAAGGTCGCATATGATTGGATATATGTAAGTTTCTTTGATTATTGACCAATCAGAATGTCTGGTTTGTTACTTTCTTTGCACTGAATTAACCCTCTTCTGCACTGAATTAACTCTCTTCTGCACTGAATTACCTGAAAACTGCATTTGTCTTAACCAATCAGAGCTGAGTAATTTTTCCATGTATATTATGAAACAGTAAACACTAAAAAATATGGGCACATAACACTAAACACTAAACCCCATTAAACGTCAATCATTAGACTACTTTTCCCAACAATTGGCACCCATTGTTTTTTCTAGGTAGCAGTAAACTAACTCAGTGGTCCAATACTGTCCAGTATTGCTCTTAGGGGGGCAAGGAAAAGCCTAATTCGACTAGGAAAAGTTCCTAGTTCCTATCGAAACAGTTTCAATTACTGGACCATCTGCTGGAAGAAAAAAACATCATCAACAACATCACTTGTGATGACCATAGGAACCATGCAGTTTGACCCTGTAAAAGTACAATATTTGATCTACTATATGACAAATGAAGACCCCATGTAACAGAATTACCGTCATGATGCACTGATATATCCTCCTGAATTTTCCAAATTCTAGTGATGGCCGATCAGATTGATATCCATGTGACCTACAAGGATTCGAAGCGCATCATTTCCTGTCCAAAAGGAGAAGTTGTCGAGGACTTTGCCATTCGTTTTCTTGAAGTCTTCGCCGATGTGTTACCGCGCGAGGTGGAGCCAAGTGATGTCAAGTTTCGGCTTTACGTTAAAAAATTTAATGACTATGTGGATCTGCAGAGCGACAAACTGCTTAAAGATGGCGTGAAACTTCGAGCTGGAATTCCAGTGATAGTACAGGTTGAAAAGGCAATTTCTATTAAGTAATTAACTTAAAGTGGCTTATTTTTGCGTAATGATAAGTCTCGCATGCGCGTGCGATGCGAGTATTCGGCAAAGTTTGAACAAATTTGAATTTTGGCTCTCTACGGATTAGGCCTGTTAACTGCAAGGAAAGTTACAGTGTAACAACGATCCGTGAAATCAGTGAGTGTTGCGTATCTTGCGGAACCAACGCTCGATAAAGAATGAAAGAAAAATTAAAAACCAAATGGAAAAGCAATCTGATATTTTACTCCATGCTCTGTTGCTGCCGAGTAAAACTAGATTCTCCTACCATCGTAAAGTGCTGGAGAAATAATCTGCGCATTCATGTTTTTCATTAATTCATTTATTAAATTTTTCCGCTTCCGATGAGATCGCAAATGATCGAGTGAGAGGTTCAAGATACCCAGAAATAAACGCCTCATACGCCAAACGCTAATTTGCCTCAAATAAAACAATCCACAAGTGTTAGTGGTATCTACAAAATTTCACCCATCATTTTTTATGTGATTTTTCTCAGTCATCTATTAAGCCTCATCCCATCCAGCAGAAGACCATTTATCGACTGTGGAGCCCCGTTAGCAGAAAAAATGGTGGTGTTGTAATGAGGAATCCAAGCACTAACATTGTGACTTGCAGTGGAACGTTTAGCTCCGGTGGTGACAGTACGTATATCATTCAGTTAATTTAAAGAATAACGTGGGTGTATGCAATTTCTACCCAAATGTCCCTGTATAAATGAAAGCTTCGCAATGTCAATGTACGTGTTTTTTACAGTTCCTGCCCATTCCCCCTCATCTCATCATGACTTCCCTCTTGTCTCATTGACACTTCTACTGTGCAGCTCACGTTAACCTTCAGGCAGAAACAACTCTCATCAACTGACCTCAATAGTATAATAGCAGATGGAAACAAGAGGCTTTTTCCATAACAAAGCAGTGAGAAGAAATTACCCTAGCATACTAACATTTATCAAAACAAGGATCAATTTTTTGCTATTTCTCATAAATGTCAAATGAGGCCTCCCATCCAACAGTCCAAAATTTAAGGTGGATGAAAAATTCACCAAATTTTGTAACCTAAACTAGCAGTCCACTAATTAAGAAATATTAGCAATTTGAATTGAATATCCTAATATGAGTGATATCGCAGCGCCCAGGGAACGTTGATAAAATTACCAGAAATTGCCAAAACTTTTGTGAGTCAGGTAACTGGTGTGACTTCAGCTGGTTGATTGAGGAACTCGTTTAACATGACCGGCTTCCTGGACCCTTATCATAGGAATTGAAATATCATCTAACACTACATCTACTCTATGTCCCTTTTAGCTCTTATGGAGGCCATTGATGAAACAAAAAGTCAGACGGCTTCATTTGCCCTGCTATTCAAAGATGGAGCAAACCAAGAGTTAGCACTGACCGGACATGGTAAAGGAAATCCTGTCAAAGCCGAGGTAACTAATGGCATATTCTGTCTTATCACCTCTCTCTACTTCATTCGCCAGTTCCTTTACCTTTTTTATCTAATATTAATACACATAGAATCGTTCTCATTCAATAGCTTTCAATTTTTTTTTAATCAATTTATTCTTTTCATTGTTCTATTTATATATTTTCCCCAAGGTCCTTTTAAAATAACTGATTTCTTCAACTGAAATGTCTTTTCCTCCAACGCCAAAATAACTAAGTGCTATAGGGAAAGCTTGTCTTTCTAACTCGAAGGTGACTTAAAGCAATCTTCGATTGAGTGCCGTAATTAAAACCAAAACTAACTGAAAGCCGGGAATCGCAACGGAAGGACCAAATCGTAATGATTTTAGTTTTGCATCTGTTGGTTGAGAGAGTGGCGCAAGGTTCGTGGACCAATCACAGAGCGAAAGCAAACCTTGGGCAACTACGGATTACTTTCGACACTCAGTAGAAAATTGTTCAAGAAAGGGACTGCAATAAATCGCCTGAAAAATGTCAATTGTTTCCAAGGTTGTAGCTAACAAAGCAGCAAGGGAAAATAGCGTTATTTAACAATGAGAAAAAGAATTCAAAGCTTTTAATTCAAAGCTATTTTTAATTAAGGCAATACCAGTTGCAGTAAATACTCCAGATGAATCCATCTTTGATCCTGAATACTTCTGGAGCTATACGATGTTCAAACAACGTGGCAGTGACTACTATCTGGGATGTGATGATTCTGGAACTCTGACTTTGGTTGAAAATTGGAACCTTGAGTATCCGAATCCTCAAGCTCTTTTTATTGTTAACGAACCTAATAAGTCCACCTAAGATGGCCAAAGATTCATTGACCTTCGCTTATTAATACTGTAACAATATTGCGTGACACTGTCACGACCTCGTGGTCCGCTGACGACATCGGTTTTGTTATATTAAATATATCTTGTTGGTCCGACATCTTGGTTTCGTGTTCTCCTCTACATTGCCCGTTCTGGCTTGTTACAAATACTTTGCTTTTTCAAATTTCTGTATTTGAGTCGATAAAATCTTAACAGGTGTATTAGAGCTGCAATAACCTTTCAAGTCTCTAATAAACCATTAAATATTTTGAGATGTTCAGTTGTGGTCCATTTCTATCTCATGGGTTAAAATGACCAATTCTATAATTCCTAATCTACTCAAGGAATTAAAGCGAAGCGATAGTTCGACAGATCAAAGTCTAGGACAAGGTTACTTCTCTTCCCGAACACAGATGCCCTTCTATTCAGAAAGGGATGTTCATTTGTGTGTTTCTTATCAATGTCAGACTGCTGAGTAATCACCCTCCTGAGAAGTCAAAAGGGTAATAAGCCGATGTTCACACACACCTTGACAGACTAAACACAGCCAAACTTATGGTGACAATGAAGCCAAACATTGATAAAGTGAGATGGCAAACTTTGACCTCCCCATGGAATGTGAAAAAATGTTTTTAAATTGAATTATGCATCGACAGAGCGCAAAAGTTATCATTCATTTATACACACAGCGTTACCCTAGAGGAAAAATAACACAACAGACATCGACAGAAGAAAAACTCACTTTTTCCACAATGTCCTAAGTGAAATTAGAATAAACAACTCCTTGGGATGGTTACTTAAATTAATGTTTTTCACCTTGACCTTAAATTAATGTTTTTCACCTTCTGAGGATTTGCTAAATAATCTGCGTGTTACATCATTCTAAGTTGATGTTCCAGTCTTGAAGGCCATGTAGACTTCAGTAGGGGTAAGCTGTTCACATAACTCCAAAACACCAGCCATGCAGTGGGTTGGAGCATTCACCCACTCACTCAGCCATGTGAAACAACTCTTATTATAAAGTTAGGTAACCATCTTGTCAACGATGAGGATGTCTGTGGTTACATTAAATCCGGTCTTCGCCCCCCTCTGTTCCCCCTTTGTCACGTGATTTGCGTTAAGGTGGATGTCACGTGGGATCTGCATGCACGATGTGAACCAGTTATAGATGTTGTGAAGACTAGTGATAGGTCGCTAGTTCTCACTCGAGAAGTCTCCTGGTTTGGGTATGAAGTCTCCTTGTTTTTGAGTATTATTATCATCACTATCATCACTATCATCACTATCATCACTATCATCACTATCATCACTATCATCACTATCATCACTATCATCACTATAATCACTATCATCACTATCATCACTATCATCACTATCATCACTATCATCACTATCATCACTATCATCACTATCATCACTATCATCACTATCATCAGTATCATCAGTATCACTATCAGTATCATCAGTATCATCAGTATCATCAGTATCATCAGTATCATCAGTATCTTCAGTATCATCATCATCATCATCATCATCATCATCATCATCATTATCATCATTATCATCATTATCATCATTATAATCATTATCATTCAGTGAGAATCAAAGTGTGAGAGTCTAAAAGGTATAAACGCACCACGACAGTCAAATCTATATGAATCCTCTTTAGGAGCGAGGGAAGCATAGAAAAAGACAGAAAAGGGCATAAATACTTGCTTTTACAGGCTAAATTATCTTGAATATAAACGCGGTATGAAATTAATTTCGTTTTGGAACGACTTGATATGTGTCACGCTTGTCATGCAACTAATATAATAAGATGGAGAAGATATATAAACCGGAACTCAAATCTGGCTAGAATGTCGTATAGCATTACGTGATCATCGAAACAGCTAATAAAATCATAAATAAACAAGAGTATTATGTTAGATTTTTTTTTAAAATTGTAATGATTTATGCTCGTGAACGGTGGCGACAAGTAGGCATACCATGTATATTTCGTAGTCGCTAGCAAGTAAATTTTTCCGGACTTTGAGTTCGTCTCAAGACAGAACAACACAAATACACAAGGAAATTTTTACAGTAACTTTATAGCCATCTTTTTGTCTTTTAAAAAGCTTTCTGCTACTTTTCGACAAAGAAAGAGGATCTCGGAGAAAAATATTTACCAAAAAAATAAATATTTCTTTACCAGCTTCAATAATGACGGGGGATTAAGTTTAGATGATAAAACAAAGGATTGTGTGGACAGAAATACTGGAGGTCAGGTAAATTCGTTACATGAGGTCACACAACTGGGATAATATTCACGGTGAAAAGTTGCATATTTCAGCGGTCGAACGAAAAGAATAATTTCTCGAAAACTGAAATATATTTTCACAAAAAATTACACTACAACCATTAGGACACATTGGGCTACAACATATGGAAGTAGGAGTAACAGCACATTTTGGGTGACTTGCCGCTGTTTGTCTCATGTATGTTGTCATTAACTCTTAAAATCTCACTTAGATGATTTTCCCCTTCTCACTTCCGATTTTTTTCGCACTATAATATAGATAAAATGACGAGAAAATTTTTTAATTTTGGATGGCATTACGAGTACTATAAATGTAAGAAAATAATATTTCAAGACTGAAATGCAACGCCATTTTATTTCCCTCTTTTCATAGTTGCACACTGGATTTTTCTGATTATTAGTTCGATTTAATCCTTTTCATCAAGATATTTACAGGCACAATCACTTCTGTCCATATCTTCTACATTCACATTTGTGAGCAAAAATCTGCAGAAGAATCCGCTCATTGGGGTGCATTCCTCTGATCCCGTGCAAGCAACAAAGGGACAGTTCCACCAGTTTCTAAAATCATCTTTGGTATGGAAGTTGTCACAGTTTTTCCACTCGCCTCTGTACTTGACTCTGTCATATCTCTTTGGTAAAGTTTCTGTATCTACAAGAAACTTTGGGGCTGCCTTGGTAGAGGGTATTGCAAAATAACATGGTTTTATCATGTGATTTAACAATGTAAATTGGCCACCGTAGAGAGCTTCCAAAGTTGACTTTTCTAGTGTCAGAGCGGAGAAAATAGGAGCACATCTTTTCGTTTTAAATATTCTAAGAGTTAAAGGCCAGATTTAAACTGGTTAACAGAATTAAGTAAGTCAAATTCAAATCAGAGGTTTTAGAATACTTTACCTTGTATCTTGCTTTTGTATTTTTTGAAGTGTTTGGCAGCAGCCAAAAGAAATGCCAAAGACAAAAGCAAAACAACACTTGTGAATTTGAAACTCGTCTTGGAGATGGAACGCACTGGTGACTAAAAGAAGAGCAAAGAAGAAACTAAAATAAATCACCAAGAGTAAGAAATTGTTACATAATAAAAAAGTTTAAAATGACAAAATAAGTAAGAATATACTAGTACGGTTGTCCCATTGAGCTACTCTCTGCAAGGCGAGTGTATCACCGCTCTTTTAACTCATAGTTCAGATTACACAAAAGGCTTTTGTAGAGGATCTGCTTGCATGATGCAATAGAAAAAACGTCCAACTTTCACTTCTAAAAAGCGTGGACCATAGACAAAGATAACCAACACCACACTAGAGAATAAAACAAAAGAAAAGAAGCTGTTATACGGTCAAATATTAGAGACATTTGTTAAAGAAAAATGTAATGCAATTTTTGTTGTATAATTATATACCATAAAAATCGTAAATTTTATGTGATTTCTCTTCTGCTGAAAGGATCCCTCGTAATTATGAGCTTTGAGTGAGAAAAAAGAAGTTCAAGAATGTACAAAAAAGGTTTCAAGTACGACAGGACTGTACCTCAAAACTTATCATCAACGGAGCTTTTGGTTCCGATTGCATTGGAGAATTAAAACGTCTTTGCGCTGCTCAATAGACAAAGTGTTTCACGGAACAAAGCAACCAAACTTCGACCAAGCTGCAAACTGAAAAAAACAGTTGAAAAATTTAGGTGACCTTGCTGGTACATTGAAGGTACAGTCTGACAAACAATCTAGTTTATATATATTCATCACTTGAACAAGTGGTGTATTTTCAAAGGCGACTGGCTTTGTGCATTGTTTGATTTTCTTTTGCTTCTTTTCTTAGTGTACTTATTTTTAGCCCTTCCTAAAGCACCTTTGTTGCCTTTAAGAAAAACAAGAAAATAACCGGAAATTGTTTATAAAAAAGGAAGAAGCTCGTTTTAAAACTTCCGACTGGCAAACCAGAGACTGATTTGTTTCTCTATTTTATAGCCGCGTCTTAAAAGAAACGTCAAGATTTTCCCATCTAGACCTAGAGGAAAGGAAATGGCCGATCCTTGTCCATAATACCAAATGGAAGAGAAAAAGGGAAAGCATTAGCAAATTCAAGTTCAGTTACGAGCAAAGGCAATGTCCGAATTGAAATATTTCTGCAAGCGGAGAAATCCAAAAACACTAAATGTAAGAACGGGAGCGACTGAAAAGCATAGAAGTAGTTTTATCACCCACTAAAAAAAATGAGGTTCATTGAAAATATACCTGCCTATGAGCTGGAGCCCCCTTTGTTCCAGTGTTTTCTCAATTATCATTACTTTATCTCCGTTCGTTAACAAATGGTATCAAGTATAAGCCGTGTACAGTTTTTTAAGCTGCTTGCATGAAAGCCCGAGAGAAAGGATGCTCTTCCACTACAACGCATCTAAATGTCTTCAAGTTATGTTACAGCGTGAACGGTGACACACTTGAAGACTGTGCATACAAGATCAACGTTTTCTGCAGTGATTAGTAGAAGCTCGCAATGCTTTTTTTTTTTTATCAAGCGTGTACAAACGAAATTTAGTTGCGTATGGTATGGATGCCAGGGAAGGGCCAAACCATCGGAATTAAATGGTGTCGTGATCGAGCCAGTCAGAGGATTATAACATAAAACTATAACTACATTCGAAACGGTAAGGTACGAAGTTTACGAACAAAATGCTTGGAAACATTGTGCCGGCAAAGAAAAAAGTTCGTAATATTGACTGCTTAATACCGGGCGACTGAGTTATTTCCAGCGTTAACTCTTTCATCGTAACTCGTAACTCGTCAGTTAAGAGATCGTTTGGAGTTGTAACACCATTCAAAATTTGTAGTAAATGTCAGCAAAGGATCGAGAAAGGTTCATGCAAAATCTTTTTTAATTTTCATACATTGAATGCATCTGCTAACGCTGTTACTGCAGATAAACTTGTTCTCTTTTCTCGTCTTGAACAACTACTTAACGAAAGTCAGTCTTTACGAAAAAAGTGTTAAATCGTCATAAGGATACACAAAGCAAGTTCCTTTCAAAACAATGAGATTTCTCCAATTATGGGTGGCTGATACATCTTGAAATATAGTTTTTTGAGAATTAATTTATGAGTACGTCGATAAATCCTGTATAATCTTTCTATATAGTCACTCGCGATGACAATGATCAAGATGATAGTATTCATGATAACGATGTTAATAGTGATGATGATAATGATGATGACGTGATGATCAGTTAAAAATGTACTTTTCTGCATTTAGATACGACCCTGTACCTCTGCTTCTGTAGACGCGTGAACAGAGGGTAAAAACAAGTTTGGTGAAAGGGATTTTTAGGCGGAGACTCGAATGCAAGAGCGGATTTTCACCATCATCAACGTATTCCCATAAGGATAGAAAAAATATATATAAACGGTCTAAATAACAGACAAAATCCTCCGTTTCTTGGCAGCAACTGAGTTAGATGTTCAACTCTGATTTGCAGCTAAGGAATATTACAATGACCTGTTACATCACAGAAGACAAGCAAGGAATTCCCCTTCTGAGTCTTTGATTTGAGTATCTTTGATTACTTTGATCGTAAGTACTGATCGTGACTAGCATAATTACATTCAATCGAAATCATTCTTCGCTCTCTGAAACGAAAAATGGAAATTTAGTTCAAGCAAAACTGGTTTACAAAAGAGGCACTGTACTAATCCCAACACTTGTGCTCATAGTAACAATGTTGAGAAATTGGTGGTTTAATTCGGAAAACCTTTCGCTCATATGTTTAAGGACTTTGTTAATGGGGCTCATATTGAGGTGGTCATAAGCTAAAAGTATATCCAGGAAAAACACAAGTTCACGGAAGAATTGATATACTTATTTTTCTCATTTAGCACCAGTTCGATAATTTTGAAGCTGATGGTAAAAACTTCCAGTTTTTAAGTGGATTGGTAGCTCGCGAGTTGATCTGCGTCTAATAAAGTTCATAATTTCATCCTCTGAAGAATTTTTTGACTCACTGCTCCTGTTACATTCAATGTTGTTTTGTAAAGTGGTTGTTGCAGGGGAAGACTCTTCGATCCGATATAGTGTTGATGAAGTTCCTTGACATGAAATTTCACGATTGTTTCTAAGGGACAATTGGCTGATCACATAGAGCAATTTTACATCTAGTCGTTCATCTTCCCTTGCGAGATCACCGGCCAACACACCGATCCTTTCAAACAACTGTACTAACTAAGTTAGTACTCTTCATCGAAATCATAGAGGTCGTAGCAGCCCCTGTTTATGATGCCTCGCACTATCCTTGGAACAATGCAAGAATCTGACGAAAAAAAACATGTTAACTAATGTCTAAAAATATTCCTCACAACTTTAACTGCTTTGTGTACTATTCTTTCTTGTTGCTGGAGCGAAGATTTCATTGTCATAATCAGAGGAATCTACCCTTCCTTTATTCTTTTATTTCTTTTCGTATCCAATGTTTTCCTTTATTCTCACTCTTTCTTTTCTTCTCTATCATTAATTTTAGGTTCTAACATTTGCTATATATGCACTAAAAACAGGACAGTATTGTGAAGTTTATTATAGGTAATCACCACAATTTTCTTGCTCCTAGTTTCACCGCCGACGAGGATTTTCACCAATTTTACATTTATAAGATTGAACATACCTAAATCATGTTATACTTACCTTTCTGTATCCTTAGTTGTCGCAAACGAGGCATTCCTAAGAGAAGAGACATCTTGTTGCCAATGTACTCTTGCTTTTTGATTTTGTCCTTGTTGTACCAGTTGCTGCTGTAGAAACCGTCCACAAACTGAGTATCAAGCCATTCCCAGAAATACCGTGGATCGTGAGCCTAGGCAAGAAAAAACGTTCTGAAATGTGCAATGACAATGAATCAAAAGGGACACATACCGGGGTCTCTTAGAGGAGGAAGAGTAACATACTGCGTCATTATAACGCGATAAATTTAAAATTGAACGTGAGTGGTTACAAGTGTTTAAGAACAGCTAAGTAACAGCCACCTCCGAAATAAACTTCGACTTTCGTATAGGGGATTTTCAGTAGTTAAATCTTGCTTTAAAATGAAATATAACAGTATTATATCGAGTATAGTTATATCTAAATGTGCTTGGTGGAACTCTCGGAGTAATGACAAAAATCCAAAAACGTCCCATATCATCTACACTAAGCAAACGCAGGCCCTGGCCGAGGAATACGATTGATCTCATCACTGCCTTATTCCAGTCTCCCTATGACTCTCAAATAGGGACACTTAAATTTAACAGAATCAGTCAGCTACCCTAAGATTTAGAGCTACTTACCAAAGAAAAGTCTAGAAGGGTATCTTTTAGATCCATAGTCATGAGATATCCATGATAACTTCTGCTTCCGTAACACACAATTATAAACAAAAAGAGAAACAGAAGATATCCCAGAAGCTCTCTCAAAAAGGAAAACATCTTTGCCTCCTTTGTCCTGTACTCTCTTGCAAGTATAAGGTCACCCTCTTTTCGCATCTCTACTTTAACACTGATATTCGCTGACAGATTTTATTTCTGATTGCAGTTTCCCTTCACTATTGTGGCTGACAGTTTCAGTTTCATTATTATTGCGAAACAAAGAAGCAGTTAACACCATAATAATTAATATCTTAATAGGACAAATAGGTCTTGGGCGAAAGATACAAACATCGAGGAAAGCCACTGGTTCGAAATATCCTTTCCCCACTGCAATCTAAAGAGGAACGTAAAGACGGCACACACAGAAACAGTAACAAGGACCAAAACCCAAGCAACGTAGATAAAGAAGTGAGGGAGCATAAATTTCTTCTTGGCATCAGCCTGACTTTGGGGTTTTTTATTAAAATATGACCTCTTTTCATTTAGCGTGACATCAACGTCGTGAATATCCCCTGAACTGGTAGTTGACGACTTGCCACAAAAGGGAGCAGGACTGCTTTTCGGTTTTTTTACGTCGACTTTATTCGGAGTTTTCTCGCCACTCCTCTTGAAAAATGTCATAATCATCAAGTTTACTGGAGTTATTATCAGGGCGCTTTCAATTCCCACCATTATTTGTCTCCAGCTGAATTTTAACGGACCAATTTGTAAGGTAGGATCTGGCTCTTTGTCCGTCCGGTAGAATAGAGCATTTGCTAACATCGCAGAAAACAATATACAAAGGCAGCATGTTGCCCTTTGGACACGTGAGAATTGACTCCTCGGTGGCTTAGTAACAACCGAAAGCCAAACGTGTCCATCGGAAAAACCTCTGGAGCCTTGCGATCTCAAAGAATAACTAAACGTCTGCATCTCCTGCGAACCTACAGGGGTTAGAATTCTGTTTATTTTACCGTCCCCTTTCTCAACCGCAAACCAATCGTTGCAAAAAAATGTCAATTTTCTACCCGTCTGGAGATCCATGACAATCGCATGGCTAAGAAACCATGAAGGATCTTTTCCCGAATTATCATGCCATATGTGAATGTATTCAATTTCACCCAGTGACATCGGCAGGTGAATCCTGAATGTATCCTCGTTTCCACGCGCCAGCAACGTCCTTGAGTCTATCGTGTTCTTGTGCAACATTAGAGGTTCACTTTGCGCCTCGTTTCCATGAATGGTGATAACGATACGAGCATCAGTCCCAGAATTCTTCCATACTCCCGTGGCCAATGTCAATTGGTAATTAAATTCATTTGCGTCGTGAGAAGAAGGTAGATGGAAAACAGGACCACTCTGAGAATAAAAAAAATGCGGTGACCTGCTTAGATCAGTTTGATTTACCAATATATTCAACTCATATCATTACCGTGTAGCAGAAAGTGACGCAGCTTTGCAGGATTTACATTTAAAGGTTATAAAATCTTCCTTCGATAGGGAAGTAAAAAAGTAAACAAGAAACAATGAAGCAGTAAAGCAATAAGGAACACGATTTGTTCAGGATAAAGGGACGAAACCAAATTGCAAATGAGATGGGTCTTTAATGGGGCGAAAATTCCGTAGGGACTGTCAAATCTGTTACAAAATAATGAAGCTGCAATGTTGCATCGCCTAGTTGTTTCAATGTTTCTACTTTTTGACCTTGTGCTGATTTTTTCTTTTGGAACTAACTTCCCATACTACTTAGCATCTGTCTGAGATAGACCTCCCCTAAGATCATGCTTAAAAGTATGTGTAGAAAAGCGTTACTGTTATCATCATTTCTGATGCGACCACGTGTGCATCGAACCTTCGAGACCATGTTCTTCTCCAATTTTGGGTAATGATGATAATAAATTGACTGATTTTTTCCCACAAAATGAAACTCCTTCTTTGTTCATATTTACATTAATGTATTAGTCATTCTTACTTCTACTTGATTGGTGGTTACTACGCTTTTAATTTTATTACTTTTCTTAATTTGACAGCTGAATGTATTTCATTCTATTAAAGTCTGTCCTTAATTTAATAGAAAATATAAGTTTTACCTTTTCCATACCTTGGCCCTATCTTTTCTATCATATTTCCTTGCAAATACTACCACTAAAAAGTACAATAGCAGTACTGCAATTATTGTGACAAGGACGGCAACATTTCCAGTCTCATGGAGGCGCGTGAGTTCATAGAAGACTACGTCAAAATCTAGCTTGTTCGGCATCATTAGGACACCTCCACCAAATGACGTCAGATGATTACACAAACAATGTAAGGATGACACCTCTGACCCTGGGCCTACCTGCAAAAGATCAAACGGTCAAAGGATAAGAGGGTGAAATTGTTTTCATATCGAAAAGATAGGAATAACTCGAACTCCTTAAAACCGAAATCCCGTCGTAATATAGTAATGTGAGGCAAGGAACAGTTGAAAAAAGATAATTTTTTGCAGTAGTTTTTTCAGAGATTGCATTTTTGAAGAGAATTTAATATCAGCATTTTGTTTTTCAGTGATTACAAACTTAAACTTTGCTTAGGCAAATCAGTCACTATGGTAAATAAACTGTGACGTCACATGGAACACAGGACGATCTACACTAACCTTCCTTTCAGAAATTACTTTTACTGTGGAATTTCAAGATGGCATATTTTTTATACCCAAAAATTGTCTTTTCCCATTATTTTAACCCACCCTATGATATATGTCATAAGTATCTTTCAACATCTCTCCTCCTCCCATTCAATTTTTGAGACAACTCATGTTTGGTCAGTTAAGAGGTGCAAAAAAGAGAGGGTGATGCTTGTCTATGTAATTGGGTTAAAGCAATATTAGACAAACCTACTTTGCAACCTCTTGATAACCTACGTTCTTCTTTACTGTCCCAAAACAGAGAGTTTTCTTTCAGCAGACTCAATGAATAATTCACGTCTGTCTTTGGGTCGTAAACCGGCTTTACAGTGATGTTCTCAGGTCTTGGTGCTTCCTTAACCTCAACACATGATCTCTTTTGGCGGCCCCCTCCGGAACATGACCGTTTCTTACGTCGACTCTGAAGTTCTCCTTCATCATTTTCGCACAGTATGCCAATATAGTACTTTCCTGGTTTGTTCAGCTTGTCAGGTAACAAAAGGACGTCGTACGCCTCATTCCTGCAATGGCTGTAAGAACCCTGGGAGGACTTCAAGCATGAAGGATGCGAAATTTGCTTTGATAGATCATGCTCTTTGACAGTTGGTCGCTGGCCATATCGCACGAATACTTTAAAGATGACTTTGCCTTCACTTGGTTTTATCTGAAAGAATAGTGATTTGATGAGCAACCATTTTATCCTCAGGCAGCTTTCAATTGAGCATCAAGGGTGTCCCAGGGTTGCACTGCTTTTAATCACTTCATTATGGACTGGTGTAAAATAATGATACCGCCCCTTTAACTGGTCACTTGCAAAACTAGAGCTAGTCCCCTTATCTTGGTCACCCGCTTTTTTCTGCGCCTCTGGCTGTTGGCTTAACATTAAGTCTCTTTTTAGTCCTTTCTGCTATTCTCTTTTCTTCGGATTTTCGCTATGATCACTATGGTTCGGGTTCATGAAACTTATCGAATAAGTTTTACAGCGGGTAAATCCAAATTTTCATCCCTTATTCTTACAGTGTCTTAAAAAGAAAACATTTAAGCCTCCATAAGCATTCATTTAAACAACACCTAACCAATTTTCGCCTCCACTTGCTGCCCTCTGAAAGATATTGCTCATAAGTTGAACACATTCTCCCTTTAAAGGAAGGTGTCCTCGTATTCTCTCCTCCATAATCAGTTTCTTGTTAATTTTAAGTCATAATACTTACTCTAAATCTTACAGCGCCACCGTCCGCATGCTGCAAGCTCACTACATGGTACTGCATCTTTCCTTCACTACTGGGTTTAGTAAAATACAAGCCACTTCCTTCGGGCTGAAAATTGCCCTCACGTGGAATCTTCATCTCGATATATTCGTCACTATCTTTCACCGATAAAGTCTGACCTTCGTGGTTTTTGATGGTCAAGCTGAGGACGTTAGAATCAACACGGGCTGCACTGTCGTCCCACGTAAAAGGATTGAATGTACTCAGAGTCATCTGATAGAAAAATAAGAAAACCAACTTTGTGTTTTAAAGTAGTATCCAAAGTATGGATAAATGGATGGAAACTGTCTAAATGAATGAACAAACTGATGAAAACACCAAGAAGAACGCGCAAAGAAACAGGGAAAGAGCCAACGAATTAATGAGGGCTTGGACGCATTCAGAAAAGAATGCTTAGAAAACAATGAAACAAGATATTCACCTTGGACCGTATTTCCGATGTCTCCGCTGTTCTTTCGATCACACTTGCCTTCTGAGAAGCAGAGTTAAGAATGTTACCCAGACTCAATACCAGGTTCTCCCCGCCTTGTTCAACTAGGACAGACTCTGAACCGTAATCTTCTTTGGTCTTGCTTCGTAACAATGACGTCATAGATCTTAAAGTTTGAAGAGCAAGATCCTAAAAGATAGATGGTCAGTCAATGAACGTCAAATGTTAGAAGAATATTCGGCTACCCCTTTTCTTTGAGGTAATCATGTAATACCTGCATCAAGAGTCTCCGATATCGAAACGCGCGCAATGCATTCTGGGATCGTCTCATATAAAAAGTGGGCACCAAGCGTGACAGCGGCCATCTTGATAACTAAAGCATCGTCAACATTTATACACTTTTACCTCGCGATTTTACAATTTCTTCCAGTTTAAATTAGATCATAGTTTGTATATAGTTTTAATAATAGTTTGTATATAGTTTTCACTAGTTTGTATATAGTTTTCATATAGTTTTCTCGTCGTTTTTGGCGTGGAAATGAGCGAGACAAGTGAGCTTTCCCTCGAGGAAGTCAACACATGGAAGGTGGACGCTCTCAAGTTATTTTGCCGTAAACGAAATCTTAAAACTTCTGGAGCTAAAGCTGAACTTGTAGCCCGTGTGTTTGCAGCATCAGAGATGGGAATCCAAGTACAAGCATCGGCTAAAGAACTAATGTGCATCACGGAGTCTGAGAGAGCGAAGCTATTGTTTACTCCTGAGGGCAGCAAGCTTCCCGATCCTCTTGGGCTAAAGGACGGATGGATTGATGAAAAAGATGGGCTAACATCATGGCCTCCTATATTTCTAAGTGACATTACGAAATATCTGATGGCTGATCATCCTGGAAAGGATATTAAACTGCACGAACGGGTCATGAATGAGTACAAAGAGGGAAAGCATACCGCTTATTTGACTCGGGCTTTCTGAAAGAAGTTTTCTACCATGAACTAGAAAATATGGATTTTTGCTTCTTGAAAGCAAAATGTACGCATTCGATGAAGGTTGGTGATACACCACATACATCATGGATTTGTTCAAGAAAAATGGAGAGATTATCAGTGCCTACTGTACCTGTACTGCTGGGTATGTTAGACTTTCTGTTTTATAAGACTTTAACTTGTAACTGATGCAAAATATAAGCCTAAAATATCATGTTTATCATATACCTCGATTTTATGACTAATGTTGTTGGTCTAAGCTCAATATATATTATACTTTAGAATGTTTAAAATATTATGTCTATCATATACCCTAACTATTTGTTATTTCTTGTTTCAGTATGAGTGGTTCTTGTATTCATGTGATGGCACTGCTGTTCAGAATTGAAGCAGCAAACCGTAATGGTATGACAAATCCTGCATGTACGTCCAAAGAGTGTGTGTGAATGTTCCAATAGGAAACAAGACTGTAATCAAGCCCTCTAGAATTTGTGATATGGAGTGGAAGGCTTCAAAGCTAAATAAAGGTATGTTATTATGTTTAAAATTCTAAACAAAGTATTTACAGTATGTATACTGGATAGACATAAGTGTTATCTGGGGACATAAATAAGAAAGTTCTTATTAGCTTGTAACCTAGAAATTAATTTACTTTTATTTTGTGTTTTTCTAGAGACGACCAGACCTGCCATCGATAGTCGCCGAAAAGTTATTCAATTCACATGAAGAGTTGAAGCCCCTGACTCCAAAAAAGGAAAGAGGAAGTCGTTTTATAATAATTTGAAGGACTTGTTGCCAGAATCGGCATTCATCAAATTAGCAACGGCTGAGTTTGAGGAACCGTGTTCAACTTCCGTTACAATAGAAATTAATACTGAAGTACCTGAATGTGTAATGCCTAAGTCATCAAAGAAAGACTTAAGTGCTGATGATATACATCTGATTGAACAAGGCACCATTGGTCAGTCTGAGAATGAGGCATGGCACGATTACAGAAAAGGCCGATTAACTGCCTCTAATTTCTATAGAGTGTACACAAAAGTTGAAACCCTTAAAACTAAGGGGGGTGATGCACAGGAACTAGTGGACACAATCCAGGGTAAAAGTAATGGACCGTCGGAACATTTACCTGCTCTAAAATATGGAAGAAACATGGAGAAAGTTGCTAAGGATAAGTATGTGAAACTGTTTCAGAGGGAGCACAAAGATGCAAAATTCAGAGAGTGTGGACTATTTATTGATGAATCTGACCAATTCATTGGAGCATCCCCTGATCTGCTTGTTGAATGTTCCTGTTGTGGATTAGGGGTGCTAGAAGTGAAGTGCCCTTATTCTATTGTTAATGATTTACCATCAGAAGACAATCTTTCCTACCTGGTAAAGATTAATGGCAAAATTGTCTTGAAAGAGAAGCATGCATATTTTGCACAGATACAGGGACAAATGGCTGTGACAAAGAGAACATGGTGTCACTTCCTGGTCTACACCCAAAAGGGTTATCATCTGGAGCTAATCAAGTTCAATAATGATTACTGGGAAAAGATAAAGCAAAACCTAATTTGGTTTTATAATAAGTATTTAAGTGAATGAATGCTCGTTAATTATAACTTGATACAAAACTTTATTTACATGGTGTAAACACTAAAAATACATTTGTACATTTTATATACAATTTAGAATTTTTACAATTTCATATCTGGAAAAACTGGTCTGACAGTTCTAAATTGAACTCAAATAGTCTCTGAATAGAACAGTAAAATTGTCTGTTGTGGAAACTGGAATGGATGAATCAAATCATGAAATTTTATACAAGTAATGCATTGACCACACTTCAGTATGATTGAAAATGTTACAGTTTGATATTGTTTGCAGTTATATATATAGTAATAATAAATAATATATTATTTATTTGTGTTCAGCGACACATGAGCTGTGAAATGAAGAAAAATATTTACAAATTATATCTAATGATTGTAATCACTCTACCAGAATAATTTTTCTCTTGTGAGGTCCTTGTGGTGCAAATAATATAACAGTTCTTATTCAGAGTGCACATACTTAATAGCTGAAGCATTAAATGGTACTAAATCATACTATTACTTAATTTTCTTGTTATGTACCATTATCAACACTATTTAGTATTATTTGGTACCATTTGTATGAAAGATTAAGTGATTGCACTCTATACTAGTTGCTAGTAAAGTAGAGCAGAGATTTTGAATAACATTTAACCTAAGAAAGAACTTAGACTAATACATATTGGTATCCTCTAAATTTATGAAGTTTATATTCTTTCATGGGTTAAATGCTGTCAATCTTTTTAGCTATTTGTACATTTCTTGTTAATCATTTTTTACCCAAGGGTCTATACAAGTTACATAAGGCTGCACAAATAAGTACAATGTTGTCTATACTGCCAAGCAGTGATATTGGTAGTTCATGCTTTATCAGTCTAAACGTCTTCAACCGTCTTATTGCTTGCTCAACAAAGATTCTAAGATTTGCAATTTCTTTTGTTTTAGCAACTTCAGCTTTAGTGAACTGCTCTTGTCCACGTTTACCAGGGGGGATGTGTAGTCTTGAGCTTCTGATTAAGAGGTCTTCAGCAATTGTGAATCCACGGTCTGCCATCACTTCATCGCCAGGTTCAATGATATCATAAAATGATGATTCTCTTGTCAGATGCACATCTGAAGTTCTCCCTCCCCATGCTTTGGATAAGAAATTGAAAAAACCATGTGGTGTTATTGATACCAACAGCTTAGCAGTGTTGTGATGCTTGTAGTCTGACCACGTAGCTGCTCTAAGGTTTGGGTCGCTTGGGGTTTCAATAAATATTTCTGTGCAATCAATGATGTGGCGTACATTAGAGTAGCCTGGCTTTTTAAACTTTGCGGGCAAAGTTGCTTTCACAACATCGATGGAGGGATTGTAAACCAAACATTTAAGTTCACTTGCTAGGATTTTCACCCAGGTAGTAACAACATTTGTTACATTTGTAGTTGAAATTCCAAACCTCTGTGCTAAGTCAGCATTTGTTGATCCAAGTCGAAGTTTCATTAAGGTCAAAAGAAACTCATCTTTTTCTGACAAAGCTCTTTTAGGGCCAAACTTATTTGGTGTTTTTTTTGAAGTTTCTTCCTTTTTAGTAGATTTTTTTGGGCCACTCCAGTAGTTTACTTTTTTAATGTTTCCCTTCACTACTTCAAACAACTTATTGAATACTCGTTTTGATGGTAGGCCGGTTAGTAGACGAACAGATGAATTTGTTTTCAAATCAGAATGTTCTAGTCCCTTACGCTGTCTGGCCTTGAGTTTTATCTTACATGCTTTGAGTTCACTTTCAAGTTCTTGGAGTTTTTCTTTGAGATCTTTGATCTCATTGAACTGCTTGAGTCTTTCCTGCAAGCATTTTTCTTTCATACAGAAGTCAGGATCTTCTAGGTTGTACCAGCCAAACGAATATGCATGATCGTGAGTGATATGGTCGGGTCGACCGGCAGTAGTACAATGTTCTTCTTCTGTTATAAACGAGGAACTACTTGGTTCTTGAATCACAGGAGCATCTTGACTATCATGTGCATTATCTTGAGTATCATCTTGAATATTATCTTGTGTGTTATCTTGAGTATTATCTTGAGTTCTTAAACGTTTCATTTCTTCTAGTAATGATGATCTATCAGTAGGCGGTTTACGGTTACGAGTAGACTTTGTCTCGTAGCTCATTTTGAGTACAGGATCAGGGTTTTCTTTCGTGGGTTTCCCATCAACAAAGTGCTCATTGCAGACTCTCGACGAATTATTAGGTTGCCAGACTTCTCCTTTCGGGCCTTTTCTCTTTAGAAGATGGATCCAGCGCTTTCTACCCTCATTGTTTTTGCGTTCAGTAGGGAACGGAAATAGCTTGAACGGCAGCGGACAGTCACATGGCGGAGTGCCGTGTAAACAATCGTGAACTTCGCATTGCTGTGAAGCCCATTTCTCAAGCTTTTTCCCACTGTTATGGCACCCAAATACTGCACAATTTCTGTGCCCAAAGACCATGTCATTAAACGGCTGCAAAGTAATAAAAATACGATGAGAATCTTTGACTTTTGACAGTTCTTGTATTCGCGAATGTCACTCGCGCGCAGGATTGAATCTACTACCATTAAAAGCTTAAAAACAGCTAAAACAAAGTTAAAATTTGTAACTTACCTTTTGAATATAATACCCACGAAGATTATTTTCCAGTTGATATCACTTACAAGAACAAAAAGACTGTATTATAGATAAAGACACGCTTCAAAGAACGCATTGAATACAGAGACACACGCCATATTGTCACGCTTGGTGCCCACTTTTTTTGTGAGACTATCCCAGAATGCATTGCGCGCGAATTACCTTCCGGAACTCTTGATGCAGGTATTGAGACAATGAGACCTCTCGATGAAGAGAGTTCAGCATTTATCGGTGGAGCATCGCTCCGAATTCGATGTGTAAGCGCTGTACATACCTGTGTATCAAATGTCACCTCACTCGGTTCCAGTGTGGCTCGTGCGATCACAGACGTCACTTGAGTCAAGGATTGTAAATTATTCACTTGAATATTTGACACACTTCGCACAATGGAGTCTTTGATCTGAAATACCAATAGACCTATTGGCCTAACGTTGAATAACGCCCTTACTAAGGATCATTTAACCCCTTTCCCTCCTCCCCCGTGCCACTTCAGTACCTCTTAAAGAGAAAAATTGGTAATTAAATATGGTGTTGCAGGCAAAACGAGGTCAAGACATTTTTCTTTCCTTCTTTGGTTGAAGAAAAGAAAAGGAAAAAAAGGGAGAGCAGAAAAATGTTTTTTTTAACATGCATTTGTAAAATTTGATTCAATTAAATATATTCCTATATTTTTTGTAGTAATTCCAAATTTTTTAATTCAATCGATTCTGAGCGAGAAGTTGACTTTAGATGACTTGCAGTCGAGCTTGTGAAACGTCAGGTAGTACAACCCATAGCTGTCTTTCTAAGGGTCACCTAGACGTTACGAAAGCATAGTCACAGATAGCTTGAGAGGATGATAAGTACAAATACCTCTATCTTGTCTTCGGTGGATGTAGAATTTGATTCCTCGACTGTTCCTAACACAGCATTTGCTAGTTGTGTAGCACCTTCAACATTCCCTGACTTGACAAAAATGTTAAACTGGCTATTGTTTCCAACTGCAAGTCCACTGAGACTGTCGTTAGCAGGCGGCGGCTCGACCTAAAAACACGGAAAGGTAACATAGGTTTCCTATAAACTAACAACTAACTTTCACCTTTATCAAGTATCACACTGGGGCGAAGTTACGGGCGAGGGGTCCTGGGATGCCCATGACCCCGGCCCCCCTTCCTCCTTGGTCAAGCTTTTTTAAAGGCAAACAACCTACAATATTCAGTTTGCGAAAACTGTTGAGTACCCTCTTTTTGACACAGTGTGGCCCCCCTTTCACGTCATTGTGACATGACACGACAGAGCAGCGTTAAGTGACTCACAAGGGGTTTTGCTGATAGGCAAAAAGAAATTAACAGACAAACAGGCAAGCAATAAAAACAAAAAATTAACAGACAAACAGGCAAGCAATAAAAACAAAAAATTAACAAAAAATCAACCAAAATCACAGAATGTTTGCAAGTTGCAAAACTTGCAAATTGCACCCAGTTTGGAAATTACATAGTTTACTTGTTTATATTTCAGGGAAATATCCTAATGATGTTCTATTACCTGCCCTTCCTTAAGAGTTCGAGTTGCTAGTAATTCGAATTTTCAAAAGTTTTCAAGTTTTTCCGTGGAAAATTTACATCTTACTCTGATCATCGTATCCTTTGAACTCAAATAATGGTAAACATTTTTCTATACTATTTTGTAATTTCAGACAGAGCTAGCAAGTATTAAAACAATCACCTTTAGGTGGAGAACATAGTTGCTGGAAGCCGACAGACTGTCTGTTATCAAAATTTCAAAATCAATGATAAATCCACCATTTCTCTTTCCTGAGGGAAGCACTGTTGACACGTGATCAGTAGACCCGTATTGCACGACGGTATACAAGCCATGGTCCGTTTTGTAATGAAACTGATACGTCAGAGGTTGATGTGGATCCTTAAAAATATAAGAAATGTATAATCTTTGTAGAATGTTTGAAACCGGCGGTCAATGATGATATGAACTAATCGACTGATTACTTTTATTAATTCATTTCTGAACTTAGAATAAAAAGCCTGAAAGTGTGAAGGAGGAAACTGCAGGAAGAAAAACGTACCAACAATGAAAGATCAGATTTGGTTAGAAACTCCTGGCTTTCATGTGAAGTCGCATGTCAAAGGATTGCTAAATAGGTTGGCAGGTTTACTCTTTATGTTTTTGGTCGTCGTACAAGAAAATTCTGTCAGGAACAAGCAATTTTATTTGTTACCTGCCTGTCAGGAACAGGAAATTTTATTTCTCACCTGCTCACCAGTGCATAAAATTGAAAATGCCGTCTTCAATGCCTGTCCACTCTTCGGAGTCACAATGCAATTTCCGGGAATTGGTGGAGCGTTCACTCTGAACTGATAAGCTGCATTTCCAGCGGGTCCGTGGTCTTGCGAGACCCAGACTTTCAATCGATAAATCCACTCACTGACAATGAGTGGAGGCAGTTGATTTGCTTTGATGATAATACCGGGAAGATCCATATCCGTCTCTGTCATGTTACGGGTCAGGATATTTCCTGGGAGCTCATGTCCGATGGAATTCACAACGACAAGCTGCCAGCTATAGGTTGCTGTCTGACACGCTAATCCCTCGCACGTAGTTACAATGCTGATTCTTTTAGAGGCGCTTGCCATCTTCTCACAGTTAATTAGGCATCTATGATGTAATAGAGATGAGGTTGCGAAAGGAAATGGTATCGCAATTGTTGTTGTTGCTTTTATTGTTGCTTATCTAAATCTATACAACACACGATACTTACGCCATTCTCAACCAATAATTTGCACAAATGTATTGCACGCATGCATTGCTAGTATACGTTGTAAGCTTACTTTTGAGCAGTCAGGCGTTTAAAATATTTCTGAAGGTAACCGCTTAGAGTAAATTAAAATGACAGTTCAAAAGAAGTAGCCATGAAAATTCATGTTGAGAAGAGGCAATTTGTTCACTAAAACTGCAAGTGGTTTATTTATATAAATTTCTGTGAAATCGATTTACTAACAGTTATTCCCAGAATTTATCTGACCCTCCAACACCAGTTTTGCGAACGTCCTAGCTTTAATCGGTGGATCATTTCTTCAAGGCTTTGTGAGGCACTTTTGTATCATTCTTCGGTACCTTAGTGAACAGGACTCTGGGGGCATTCTTCCACCTACTGATGATGTTATGATCCAACTTCAGGATAAACATCCGAGTACACAGAAAGCCCAGCTAGGATCCCTGGTCTTTGGTCCAATCGAAGATATCACTCATGTTATCTTTCACCAAATAAATGGAGAAATTATAAAAGAAGTGGCACTTGAGACAAAAGGTTCTGGCAGTCCTTCGGGGATAGATTTAAATGGTTTTAGAAAAATGCTCGCTAGCAAGTCCTTTAAGAAGTCCAGTGCAAGTCTTTGCGACGCCATGGCCATGCTTGCCAAGAGACTTTGTACAGAGCTTCTTGATCCTGCTACAATCGAACCAATTTTGGCAAGTCGATTGATTCCACTCGACAAGGGCAATGGTGAGGTGCGACCAATCGGAGTCGGAGAGGTGGTGAGGAGAATAATCGCCAAGTGTGCAACAAGGGTGACAAAGCAGGATATTATTGAGGCCAGCGGCCCACTACAAGTGTGCGCGGGTCTGAAGAGTGGAGCTGAGGCAGCCATTTACGCCATGCACGGTATATTTGATGCTGATGATGCAGATGCCGTGTTACTAATTGATGCATCGAACACTTTTAATTCATTGAACAGGGCTTCTGCCTTGCATAATGTCGCTGTTCTTTGTCCTACTTTAGCCACATACGCCCCCAACACCTTTAGGGCTTCTGCGCGCCACTTTGTCACGGGCGGTAAAGAACTGAAATCTACAGAGGGCACTACACAGGGTGACCCCTTAGCAGTGAGCTTCCATGCTATAAGCCTTCAGCCTTTAATCACCCATCTCAATCTATCCAGCAACGCGAAGCAATGCTGGTACACTGATGATGCAACATGTGCTGGTTCGCTCGAAGAGCTAAGGAAGTGGTGGGACGGGCTAAATGAAATGGGACCTAGCCTGGGGTATTACCTCAATGCTAAGAAATGCTGGTTGGTCACCAAACCAGAAAAGGAGAATGAAGCGATGGAAGTATTCAGTGACACGGCAATAAAAATATCGACTCAAGGCCAGAAACATCTGGGCACCGTGCTAGGCTCTAGAACTTACCTAGAGAAGTATATGAGAGGGAAGGTAAAGGACTGGGTCGAGCAGGTGGCGAAGCCCGCAGGATTCGTTGCAGCTAATCCAAAAGCCTCATATGCAGCCTTTACTATTGGATTGAAACATCGTTGGACTTATTATCTCAGAACTCGACCTGACATCGAAGAACTGCTAGAGCCCCTAGAGCGCGCAATAGGCAATGTCCTCATACCCGCCATGACAGGGCACACTTGTACACCCGCTGAGCGTGAATTACTAGCACTTCCGGTGAGGCTAAGGGGACTGGGTCCCACAAACCCATGCCGAAACGCGACTTAGGAGTATAAAGCCTCAATCAGGGTAACACATCCTCTGGTGAAGCAGATAGAGGCTCAGGCACTCGAGCTTCCGGATGATGATGACATACGGAAAATGCAGCAGTACAACTGAAGGGAGAATCAAAAACATCTTAGAGAAAGGCTAGAGGAAGTAAAGAGTGTACTCCCTGATAACACCAGGAGAGCCGCTGTCCTTGCTACAGAAAAGGGCGCGTCTAGTTGGCTAACAGTTATCCCGTTAAAGGATATGAACTTTACTTTAAACAAGAGAGAGTTCAAGGATGCCGTTCATCTCCGCTATGACTGGCACATAGCTGACACGCCCTC